CACACTCCAACTGGAATCTCCGCCACCCGCGGTCACACCCAGGAACCCGCCACATCAAACCTCTTCCGTTTTTCTTCTTTAATCTTCGAACACCCAAAAAATCAGACCCAAATCGGCTCTGCGGCCTTGGAGACGTGACATGCCCTCCTCTCCTCAGTCCGAACCTATCGATCCTGAGCCCAAGTCGGCCCCTCGAACCGTGACGTTGCGAGATCGCGACCCCTCCCCCACCACCTCCACGTGGCGAGAATGGCGCCAGTCTCGCACGACTCATCCCTCCCATGCGTTCCTTCCCTATCGCCCATCATCCATATTATATCGTCACTCCTGCCACCCGCACCCACGTGGGAGATCATTACAGGGTCGTCCGAATAAACTCCGAATAAACTCCGAATAAACTCAGAATAAACTCATAATAAACGCAGGAATCACGAAGGAAACATGCAGAATGCAAAAGGCAATCCCTAAACCGCTTTCGAAACAGATTTATGAAGCAGACCGAGCCCATCCCTCCATCATCCTTGTCGTGAAGCTCGAGGTCCAGGTGCCGAAAGGTCTGCAACCACGCTGGGGTCTTCTGCTGGCTCCTTCGGGGAAGGCATTAGAGAGACTCTGGAAGAATTCACCAGGGGTGCCCAATGCGATTAACATCATCGCGCGTCAACGGTTGCACGATGACCTTCACCGCGTTCGATGCCCCGTTCCCCAACATAAGTTGGGAAACGGGGCATCGAACGTGGCTTCATTCCTTCCCTCGAATCCTGCATTTGATGAAAGCCAGTGCGACGTGCCTCAGCATCGATCGGATCCGCCTGCGCCGACATAGGCATATCGGCGGCAGCGGGGGGCGATCGACGGCATTTTCTCTCGTGTCGTTGCAATTCCGAAACCAATGCAGCAATCTGACAAACGGCTGATATAACGCGCAAGCGTCATTGATCATTTTAGAATGTTGCATCGCCCACGACTTCACCTGAGAGTCGAGCTTCCATTTCTGTTCTTTGGACTTTGCAAACTCCTCGAGATAGCGTGCTAGGTTGTTTCCGAGGCATGTTCTCTGCGGGGGCGATGGTTCTGCGAATGTCGTTGATCAAATCAGCCCATTGTGTCACAGTGTCCAGATCCATAGCTGCCTGGAGAACAATCGTTTGATTTCAAGCCTTCCTCCCAATTCCGCACATCCCGCCCTGCCGCCCCCCAAGATCTTTCTTCCTAATCCTCCGCATCCCGCCCTACCATTGCTCTTCCTTCAAGCGCGAAACAACATGAAAAACGGCAGTCCCCGAGATCTTCTGTGTACTGCATATCGTCGGGGCTCTGCACATTCTGTCTCAATATGTTAGATATCTTCTCGTCGATGGTCTCGCTGGGCCTGCGCTTCGGCGTCGTTGCACCCCCCGCGCTCCTGCGCGGCCTGCCTCGCCCCTGCGAGCGAGGCGCGAGGTCAAAACAACAAGGGCAACACGAATCATGCGAAAGATGATGGTGACGATGATGCGCATGTCACGATGAGGCTGTAGAAAGAGGAAGGGGTATACGTGTTTATTATTATTATTATTATGTACGTGACATAGCGTCGTTAAATGCTAATGTGCTATGTTTGTATGACAACACCACACACCATAGATCGCGATCTACAGTGTAGATCGCGATCAATTTAGTAGATCGCGATCTATAAACTAGATCGCCCTACCCTCTGGGCAGCGCGAGTCGCGGCAACATCTGGACAGCGCGCTGGCGCCCCGCCTTTTTTTTTTACGGGGGTGGCGGGGCGCCCGTAGTGAAGCCGCTCTGCGCAGGACCACTATCCGCGTCAAGAAACAACGCAACGTGCACGCTGCGACAACGTCGTGGGCGTTGCGCCGGCCACCCGCGATCACTCTCTACGGTTTTTACAAGGGCGGCGGCGGTGCCCGCGCGATGGTGCTTGCTGCGCGCAGGCCCAAAACAATGCTGGCGCCTCCAGCGTTAGCATCTGGGCAACGCGGACGGGTGGGCGCTACGCTTTCTACAAAGATGGCACGCCGACCGCGCGTGGAGCCCGCGGCGCGCGTCGTGCACCTGGCGCCCGCATAACGTTGCAGTTTCCCAGTGGCTGCCCATCCAGTGGCGACCCCTGGCCATTCCGAGACTCGGATGCCACTTGCGTGGTGGGGGGGCGGGCGGGAATGAGCTAGACGGCTTGCGTGCGGAAGGGCGTCTTGACCAGTCCTTGCCTCGGCCCTCCCCGATGCCCGCGAGCGCTTCCTGTCGGCGGTCTCCGGACAAGTCGGCCAGGGCGGCTGGGTGCCTCTTGCCGCGGCCCCGCGATTGCCGAAGCTGCGCCGGCGCGCAATGGCGCGCTCGCGAGCCCTGGTGATGCGCGGGCGCGCGGTTCCGCGAAAGCGTCGCGTAGCTTTGCGTCGGCCGCGGCGCATCTTCGATGACGTCGGCATCGAAGCCTGAGTCGACGCCTTCACGCCCCCCGCGCTGGCGAGGTCGGGCCAACGTTGCCGACGGACGCTGTCGCCGGCGGACCCGGCACAGCCCCCGACGTGGCCGGGCCCAATCCGTCCCAGCTCGGCCCCGCTGCAGCGCCGCCGGCGCCGCAGGACTGGCCTTGCGCGGGCGAGGCGTGGGCCGCTGAGGCCAGGTTGCCTGGCGACCCTTCCATCGCGCGCCCGAAGCGTCGCCGCTGGCCCGCCATGTGCGCGAGCTGCGCTGCGTTCGCGGGGTGGGCCGCGTTGCCATTGCCAGCTAGACGTTCGACGCGCCAACGGCGCGCGGCAATAAGGTTGCTGCTGCCATCGTCGTCGATCATGAATTGACCAGCGCGCTGCGCCCGGTTGCGGAGAGCGTCGAAACGCGCGAGGAGTGCCCCAGCGAGCGCGACATGCGCGAGCAGGCGGTCGTGGCCGACGCCATCGAGAAGGCCAGGAGAAGCGACTCCAACGACCTCTTCCTCACTCGCGCGTTCATGCCTGGAGCGCGCTTGCCCCAGGTGCCGCCGCCCATCATGCACCAAGAATGGCACTGCGACAGGTGGAAGAACGGCATTGCCATCGCGAGCGCTGCGTTCACGGGCGGGTCGTGCCTGTGAGCCCTCGACCCGCGATCGCGCGTCGCTGATTACAGGCGCATGTTTTCCCCATGAGCAAACGCCCCGTATCGTTGTCCCCCGTGGTGGCGGGCGGGGAGGATGGCCACGGAGTCGGGAGAGGTTGAGGAGGCGGAAATAAAGCAGGATGAATATCAGGAGCATAATGTGGCGGTAGTGGAAGGAGACACTATCAGGAGCGAGAGGAGGATGAGGTGTTGGAGTCCGTCGAAACGCATCAGTGCCAATGCAGCCGACATGCTACCCCCCCGCCCCCCCTTTCCCAGTTGGCCCCGCCCGTCGGCCAAACTGTGAATCGGGGATGCCATCGGTGGCGCTGGGTTGCAAATGATGAGTCCCCCACGGGTCAGGACAGCTGGCGGCCGCGCGACCGCGTGCCCGCGCGCCGTGCCAGTGGGGCGCCCCGAGAGAGGCCACGTGGCAAAACTCGTTATGCTCTGAATTCGCCACTGCCCAGATCATCACCTCGCGCTCCCATCTCTGGAAGGGCGCGCGAGACTGCTGCTCGGGCCCCCAGGTGCGAAGGTGGCACATGTTGCCGCTGCCGCCGCCTGCGCCCACGCAGGACAGGAAGCTGGCGATGGCAACCATGCCCACCCAGACGGCCTTCCAACAAGAAAAAACGCTCTTTCCGCGTATGGCGGAAACGCTGGAGACCGGGAGTCCACCGGCGGCGCTGCCCGGGAAAGGGTGTCCTGGACCGCCGCGGATACTTGCCCCGGATTCGTCCTCCTCGTTTGCGCATCGGGCGCATGTTTCCGTCGCGCAATTGCGGTGCTCTCGGTTCTCGGAACATCCCGCGGCACAATCGCGGGAATGTTCCTCGTGCGTCGCGTTGTTACCGGATTGAAAACCGCCAGCTGCGCGATCGTCAAGAGGACTGCGCATCGAGGCCCACTCCTGCTAGGCAGCAGGGAGCGCGCGGGTAAGATGGGAGGCCATGTTCCAAGATATCGGAGAGGGGCTCTCCCAGATCCGCTTCGCTGTCCTCCGGAGTGCTGAAGCATTTTCACCGCACCCTCCATCGGCCCCCCGCTCTTCTCTGCGTGTACCTCCCAAGGCCCTGGAGACGTGGTCACTAAGAGCTCCGGGCCCCTGGCCGAAACTGAATATGTCAACGCTGCATCGAACAACTGTCCGACATTCGCAATGATTTCCCGACACTGGCGCAACGAAGGCGTAGGGCCCGCGAGCTGCACCGACATTCCAGCGTAAACCCTGGAAAGATCTCCGAAAGAGTTGGCGCGTGGTCTGGGTTTTTGAAGGTCTCGTTCGCGTATTTGTGGTGGTGATGGTTGTGCGCGTTCCCACGCACTTGTCCTGGATGTGGAGGGGCACCTGCCCGAAAGTGAACAAGCAGAAACGCACGACCGCGACGAAGGCAAATCACCAGCGTGGTAGACTGCTGGTTGTATCATTCGCCATTGGGGCAATGGTGTTGGAGCCGAAACTCCGCTACCAACTCGAAACATAAATGTAAAGCGGCATTGAGGCGGGTGTAAAGCGCGAGTAAGGCGGGCACGGTGCACTGATCAGGCCTTGGGCCAAAACGCCGGCGGGCCCAAGCAAAAAAAGGTGAAATGGGCAGAACGGGTACCGTTCGAGTGGAAGCGGCAAACGGGAGGAGGGAGGGGGGGGGAGGAGAGGAGGGAAGGGAGGAGGGATGCAAGGATGAGGGAGTAACTAGGCGAGTGAGCAGAGGAGGGAGCGAGGGATGAGGATGAGGAGGGATTGGTGCAGGGCCAGATACAACACGGCATGTGGGGGGAAAGCGGACGAGTAGGAATGGTGGAGGAATCGAGCAACAACGGAAAACGACATGGAGAAAATGAGGGAGGCAGGCAACAGGAGAGAGGAGGGTGGGGGAGGGGAACAGAAGGGGGGCGGACGAGTCCAGAGGCAGATGCGCTCAGACCACGACGACGCCCGCGTCGTCGGGAGCGGCAAGAACCGCGGAGGTCGCCATGGCGCCGCGGACGGGTGGCCATCCGAAGGGCCCCACCGGTGGTGGCCCAGGAACCCAGATTTTCGAACGCACCGAGAAATTGAGAGGGAAATGGTTGCTGTCCTGCCTCGGTCGGGCTGGTCCTGGGTTCTGAATCCATCACATAAACATCAGGGATGACAGAAATGCCTCCAGGAAGGGGCCGGGATGACAAACTGACTCAGTGAAACAACAAATCACGACGCCAGAAGTCCGGGAACGACCTCCAAGCGAACCCCTTCCAGAGACAGAAGATAATTGCTCGATCATCCGTCGATTATCAGAAGGCCCCGGACATCTCTGGAGGATTCGGGAGGTCCCCGAATGCCCAGAACATAACTATTCCCAACCCTCATGTGTGCTGGGCTTTGAATAGAGCGTTGTGGTTTCAACCTTTCCTCCTTCCTCCCCCTCCTCCTCCTGCATGTTGCCTCCTCATGTGCGCGCCCTCCCGCATCTTGTGCGTCCTTTTGGGGGCTGCGAGCTGCGCAGCCGTCGCCACTTTCGTGGGCCCCTGAAAGGTCCAGCGGTGGTGGGCGATTCGGCGGAGGCGGTGGGCTGGAGAGACCTCCCGGCTCCTTGGGAGGCTGCAAAGTGCGCAACTGTCGTTACTTTCGTCGGCTCTTGGAAGGTCAAGCGGAAGCGGTGGGCGCGCGAAAACTCACGGCTCCCCAAAAAGCTGCAAAGTGCGCAATTGTTGACGTTTTCGTTGGCTCCTGGGAAGTCCACCGAGAATCCGCCGAGCCTGTCGGCGTGTGCAAACGGTTTGTCTGGTCGGGTCGTCTTTTCGTCGGTCGTCTACTGCGTCGTCTCCTTTCCTTGCGCCCACCTTAAACCAGTCAGCGAGATAAAAACCTCGCCATGTCGTACGTGATCGAATCGAAGGGCAACCCCCCCTTTGACCCCTCACCTGTTGGGGGGGGGTCCTGGGGTGGTCCGGGGGTGGGTGGGCGGGTCAGATGCGTTTCCCCCCGTGGGTCCTAGGGCTGCAAAAAGGACATGTCAGCTTGTGATTGACTAATCCGTGGGGGGCGCGCGCTCGAAACAAATATTTTCTCCAATATCGTCCCAGAGCTGCCCCAAAAAAGTCCCCAAAAGGGCCCCAATACAGCCCAAGAGGACTCCAAGACGGCCCAAAGAGGCCCCCATGACGGTCGAAGAGGCCCCCAAAACAGCTCAAGGAGACCCCAAGATTGCCCCCAGGCGTCCGCGAAAGCCCCCCAAGACGGCCTCCGAAGGGGCGAAATGGCGCAAAAGCGCCTCCAGACGGTTCAAGACGCCCCCAAGAGGCCCCAAGAGGCCCCCAAGAAGCCTCCAAAAAGTCCCCCAGAACCCTCCAAAAAGGCCCCCAAAAGCCACCCAAAGGCCACGCAGCGACTGGAGTATAATGTTATTTTCTCCCCTCTGGGCGAACTGCGGCGCAGCGCCAGCCAGGTGGAAGTTGGTCACTGCGGCGCCCGTGATTAGAGCCGGCACTGGAACGGATGATGGGGAGGGTGTGTGAAAAGGAGGGAAAAGGGAAAAACCCCAAAGAAACCCCCAAGAGGCCAAAAGAAAGTCCCAGGAGGCCTCCAGGAGGCCCCCAAGAAGCTCCCAAGAGGCCCCGCGACGACGTGACTGCACGAGCTCCGGACGTGCACCCCGCGAAGCGAGAGGAATCATCATTGCGCTGAAGGCAGGTCGGCCTGCGTCGCCGCAAGTCGACTCCATGCCACGGCCGAGCGCTGCGAGCTCCCAGCAGCATTCGTCGACAGCTGTCAAAAGGCAACGCCGCCGAAATGGTACTTGAAAAGGCCGCCTGGGGTGCGGCCGGAAAGCGCCGCCGAAATCGCAGCCGAAATCGCAATCGAAATTGCCACCGAAATTGCCGCCGAAATTGGTGCCGAAATTGCAGCCGAAATTGCCGCCGAAATAATTCCAAACTCCGCCAAAATAGCTGCCGAAATTCAGCCGCCGAGATCGCTGCCGGAATTTGCATTGCCCTGCCCCGAGCGAAATCATTGTTCTATTAAGCGTGATGACGCCGCGCACACAGGCATAGAGCCAGCCAGAATTAAGCTCGGCCTCTCTGGGGGCTGCGCAATCCGGGATGTCAGCGGAAATGTCGGCGGCAATTTCGGCGTCGATTTGCGCGGCAATTTCGGCGGCGATTTCGGCTGCAATGTCGGCGGCAAGTCCTGCGGCAATTCCGGCGTCCCTTTCGACGGCTCTTTCGGCGGCCCTTTCGACGGCTCTTTCGGCGGCCCTGTCGGCGGTGTTGCTTTCGCCCATTGTCGACAATGGTTGCTGGGAACTCTCGGCTCTCGGCGGCCCCGGCGGGCCCTGGGAGGGCCCTCGAAGTGCCTCGCCAGAAAGCGCATGATTGGTACGCGATTGGTACGCGATAGCATGCGCAACGCGCAAAGGGAATGCCTCGCATGATGCGTCAGCGCGCTCTAAGATGGAACCACCGCGCGGCAGGGCGCGCCTGCGCACTGAAACCGTCAAACATGGAATGGATTTCGGCGCGCGCCCCTTTGCGTCTCCAAAGAAAGAGCTGCTACGAGGAGCAAGGGCCGTGAGCCAGGGTGAGAGCTGCTCGAAATCAAGAAAAACTGTTGCGGTCGGCGCTCGCCCCCGCACTTTCCGCGCTCGTTTTATCGCACCGATGCGCCTCCTTTGCCCTGGCCGCAGTCAAAGGGGGCGCCAACTACCTCGCGGGCCCGCGAGCAAGGCGGGCCGGGCGAAAGGGGGGCGCGGCCGAGCGGCGATATGCCAAACAGCTCGCGTTGCTGATTTTCCGAGAGCCTCCTGGTGCCAGAAACGACCACGCATTGAGGATTGGCCCCTCGGTGGGGTGACCGGAGCCAGCTGCGCGCAGTAGGTCTCGCAGACCCCCTTTCCTACCCCGGCCTCTCGGCCGACCCGAGGCGGGCAGCCCTCCACCCCCCGTCTGTCGAGGTCTGTCTGTAGTCGTCGACGACGATGACGGGCGGGCACGACGTCCGACGACGACGACGACAACGACGACGAGGAGGACGAGGAGGACGACGACGAGGAGGACGACAACGAGGACGAAAAGGACAAGGATGAAAAGGACGGACGGCGGACGGCGACGGCGACGGCGCGACGGCGACGGCGACGAGGACAATGGCGACGACGATGACGACGGCGACAACGACAACTTACTGCGGATGCCCTATGGGGCGGGGGGGGTGCTGCGCAAGCCCGCCCGTTGTAGTCGACGGCGACCGGTGACGACTAACTTTAACCGCTGTCGGTTATCAGGACCCCCCCCCCCCTGGATGCGTCACTCCGCACCCTGAGGGTGAGCCTGGGCCCAGACAGCTGCCCCTGGGCCTCCCCAGGTTTGCCTTTTGGCTCCATTCTTGGGCCAAACATCTTGCCTTCCTCCGCCTCCGTGACCGCTCGGGCTCAAGAGGGCTGAGGAACGCTCAATGTTTCATCGAGGCTTCCGCTCCGCAGTGGCCCCCCCTGTCAGGGATCTGACAGAGGCGCTTCCGAAAGTGGCCCAGCGCCCGTCGCTCCGGACGGACGTCGAGGAGTTCAGGATGGCGGCCTTCAGCGAGCTCTTCAGATGACCAACGTCAGCGCCGTGCGCCTCAGGAGTCGCCCCCGCGACACAGGGGTCGACGCGGGAGTTACCTCCGAGACGCAGAAAACGAGAAAGGGGGGTCAGGCGCCCGCCCCTGCCTGCCATGGGCCTGCGAAGCTCGGAGAGATGGAGGCCCCGCGCGCAGAGGGGGGCTGGATGGGGCGGCTCAAACATAGGACAGCGGCGCGAACGCGGTCAAGCGGGCGAACCAGCACTGCACCATCGCGGCTGCAGGGGGGGCCCGCCCTTAAGACGACAGACCCATAAGCGCGGGATGTTACCGCGCGCCGCTGAGAGATGCGCGCCTAGGTCTGGCGCGCGGGACTGGGCCGCATCAGGCCGCGCCAGTTAACTTAGCTGCCAGATCAGACCCGTTCTGCGGGGTTGCCATCATGGCGGGGATTTTCGGATCACATTGTGTATTCGTCGGAGCCGGCCGTCATGAAAAATACCTAGACAGCTCAGGTCACCCTACCAGACCACCGCCCTACCAGACCTACCGGACCTACTTTACCAGACAGCTCACCCTGAGGCAGCCCACCCTTGTAGACCTACCAGACCGCTCAGGTGAACGAGGTGTCACCCTACGCGGCAGCCCACCTTGCCAGACAACTTAGGTTAGGTACGCGATACCAGGCAGCTCATCCCACCCCGGACAGCTTTCCATTAATAGCGTCAGCTCGCCGACTGCGTGTCCGCAGAACGGCGCACTGGAATCGAGTTCGTCGTTCTGGTGCCCCGGAAGGCCGCAAGAACGGCGAACTAGAATCTACTTCGTCATTCTGGTAGACCGAATGCGCCCACATATCGGATATCGGCGAACTAGATTCCTAAGGGGCCCTAGAAATTCTGAAGGTTTCCCTCGGAATACGGAATTCCAGACAGGAGTCCGTAGGAACCCCTATCACTCAGGTCACCCTACCAGACAGCCACCCTCCAGACAGCTCAAGTGAACGTGGTGTGACCCTGCGTGGCAGCCCACCATGGCAGACAGCTTAGGTCAGGTACGCTACCAAGCAGCTCACCCTACCAGACAGCTTCCCAATAATCCGCACCCACGGTGGTTCAAGCCAGTTGGGCTCAAGCAGGCCCCCCAGTCCAGTCAGTTCATTATATTGGACGTGATTCCAGGTCCGCAGCCCGCGCGCAAGTCAGTCCGTCTCGCAGCCTCGCACCGCATCAGATGCTGCAGGAGAAACGGGAGCGCGAACGCTCGTGCTCCCGCGGGCGGGAGGCCCCTCAGCTGGAGCTGCAGGGGCCCCAGGTCCGCGTCAGCGAGCTCGGCGAGCAGCCCGCGGCCATCCACGCGCGCGGGCGCGCTCAGGCCACAGCCGTCGACGTCGACTTGGACGCGCGCGCCCTCAGGGGAAGGTCGAGGCGCTGCAGGCCGCGGCGGCTGAGGCGCGGAGCTTGGCCGCTCAGGCCGAGGGGGCGGCGCGGGAGACTCCGAAAGGTCGCGAACAAACACTTCAGGGGGTCGTGCGACCCCGATTCAGACGCGCCAGGGTTCATGGCGGCATGGCAGGTGCGCCAGGAGGAGGACACTCAGTTCTGGGGGACCCCGTCTTCATTGAGGTCGCTGAGCGGGCTGGCGCTCGAGGGCAGCGCAGCTCCAGCGGATGTTCAGCGCGCCTCGTGGGTGGGTGGGGTGGGGGGGGGGGGGGGCAACGCCGAACAGAAAAATAATCATCGTCATCAGCCGACCTTACCAGACATATGAGGTCTTGAGTTGCCCCACCAGGCGGCCCACCCTGCCAGACAGATCACACTCTGCCAGTTCGCCCTACCATGCTTACCAGACGGCTGAGTTACCCCACCAAACAGCCCACCTTACCAGACAACTCACCCTCAGGCAGCTCGCCCTACCAGGCCTACCAGACAGCTCAGGGGAACGAGGTATTACCGTACTAGGCAGCCCACCCCACCAGACAGCTTTCATGCCTCAAGAGGGCTCAAGAGCCCCCCCGGTGGCTTCCCCTGCCAGGCCCCCGAGAGGTTCAACTCTTTCCTATTCCATCCCAACGTAGTGCGACTCGCTCCTGTTCTAGTTTATTCGATTCTAGCCCTCCCAACTCTCGCGAAAGCCGTGCCCGCGCGCGGGCCCAGCTTTATTTTGGGCGGTGGGGTCGGGTGCTAAGATAACGCCGCGGCGCGGGGCAGGGGCGATGCGCTGGGATGGGCAGCCCCTAGGACGGCCGAAAAAAAAAACATAAACTTTTCATTGCAAGTTGCAGCGAATCGCGTAGGGCGAGAAGGATTTCTGTCTCCAACACATGGTTTGAATTACCCCACTCGCATTCTCTCTGTGCTGCTTCGCCCTTTCTTATAGTATATTCGGCTTGTTGTTTGGTCACTATGCTATTATCATCCATATTGCCCCTCTCACATTTTCTTTCTCTCTGTCTCTCTCTCTCTCTCTCTTCTCATATTATCTCTAGCTCTCTCTCTCTCTCTCTCTTTTCTGGTTTAGTGCATTCTGCCCTCCCCTATTATACGATGTTGTTTCCTGGCCACTATGCGATTCTGATGCATCGTACACCCTTCCATTCTAATCCAATGTTGATGTACTTCTACTCTACGTGAACCATTCTACGTCATGCTGTTTGCCCTAGTCCTACGCGCGTCATGTCGAGATCCCGGTTCTATCTATCCTGTTCTATCCGATCCGATCGCGGTCCCGATTTTCCGGGGGAGGGGCGCGTCCCATTCTTTCCTTGGGCGGCGCCGGGTGCTAAGATAGCGCCGCGGCGCGGGGCGCGGGCGACGCCCTGGGATGGGCCGCCCCCAAGGATGCCCGAACAAAAAAACTTGAACCTCCCACCGCGACTTGCCTGTGGAATCGCGTAGGGCGAGGAGGAAGATATTCGTAGACAATTCAATCTCCAACATGTGGTTTGCATTGCCCCTTTCACATTCTCTCTGTTCCGTTGTGGTATTCTAATATCTATTCTACTCTGTTTGGGTACATTGTGCTCTTGTTTTTACCTAACAGCGAAGACTGATACGTTTCTAATCGAGCCAGAAGAGAACATCATGACGCCCCAGGGGGGTCTGGGCGGGATCCGGGGGAGGATGCCGGAATCTCCTTTTTTAGCAAACAGTAGCGCACTTCGTGGTCCATTCCGGGGCATGATTATGAATGCCCAGAGCCAACTGTAAGCCGCGTCGTGTTCTTCGAGTTCCCAGAACTCCATTCCTGTGCTTTTTTTGAATGCCCAGAGCCAACTGTAGGCCACTTTGTGGTCTTCGAGTTCCCAGAACTCCGTTCCTGGGCATGATTTTGAATACCCGGAACCAACTGTACGCCACTTCGTGCTCTTCGAGCTCCCAGAACTCCATTCCCGGGCATGATTTTGAATGCCCGGAGCCAACTGTAAGCCACTTCGTGTTCTTCGAGCTCCCAGAACTCCATTCCCGGGGCACATTTTGAATGCTGAGGCAAGCTGATGATAAGGCTGAGGCAGGCTGAGGCTGAAGCAGGCTGAGGCTGAGGCTGAGGCAGGCTGAGGCTGAGGCTGAGGCAGGCTGATGCTGAGGCAGGCAGAGGCAGAGGCTGAGGCTGATTCAGGCTGAGGCTGAGGCAGGCTGAGACCGAAGCCGAGGCTGGAGGCAGACTGAGGCTGAGGCTGAAGCAGGCTGAGGCTGAGGCTGAGGCTGAGGCAGGCTGAGGCTGAGGCTGAGGCAGGCTGATGCTGAGACAGGCTGAGGCTGAGGCTGCGGCTGATGCAGGCTGAGGCTGAGGCAGGCTGAGGCTGAGGCCGAGTCTGAAGGCAGACTGAGGCTGAAGCTGAAGCAGGCTGAGGCTGAGGCTGAGGCAGGCTGAGGCTGAGGCTGAGGCAGGCTGATGCTGAGGCAGGCTGAGGCCGAGGCTGAGGCTGATGCAGGCGGAAGCTGAGGCAGGCTGAGGCTGAGGCCGAGTCTGAAGGCAGATTGAGGCTGAGGCTGAAGCAGGCTGAGGCTGAGGCAGATGCAGGCTGAGGCTGAGGCTGAGGCAAGCTGACGCTGAGGCAGGCTGAGGCTGAGTTTGAAGCTGATGCAGGGTGAGGCTGAGGCAGGCTGAGGCCGAGTCTGAAGGCAGATTGAGGCTGAGGCTGAAGCAGGCTGAGGCTGAGGCTGAGGCAGACTGAGGCTGAGGCAGGCTGAGGCTGAGGCTGAGGCAGGCCGAGGCTGAGGCTGTGACTGCGACTGCCGTTGCCACTGCGACTGTCATCGCGAATGCGACTACGAGTGCGAGAACAACAGAATTCTACAACTGGGTTCTCATCTGAATCTTAAGGGGAATGCTTGCAAATATGCCCCTACACATCGCGGTTAGGTTAGGTTGCTTTGCCCGGATATTTTCTAATGGTCGCAATGCTATGTCAATCCATATTGCCCACCCCAGATTATCTCTCATCTGTTTTCTCGTGTTCTCGCTTGTCTTAGTAGATGCCGTTCTCTTCTAGTGTCCTCTGATTGTTTGTCGCCATGCTACTCAAATCAATCGGAATCTCTGCCATGCCAATCCTATTGCGTCATGCTTCTACTCAAAGTTTTGCAGTCAATTGCGCGATAGTCACCCTAGCCCTACACGCGTTATATCGATGCCCGATCCTATCTATCTTTTTCTAGCTCATCCACTCGCGAGCCAGAGTTTTCCCTTTCGGGGGTGGCTGCGGCGCGCGCCGAGATGAAACCGCGGCGCGGGGCGTGGGCGAACAGCCGCAGACCAAACAACAAAAACAACTGCAATTTCTCATTGCGGGTTGCAATAAGAATCGCGTAGGATGAGGGGGGGGGGGGGGGGGAGTTTAGGAATGTTCAATATTTAGCATGGCGTTTTTCCCCCCCTATCCCTCGTCGCTTCTCTCTCTCTCTCTCTCTCCCCCTCTCTCTTTCTCTTTCTCTTTTTCTCTCTCTCTCTCTCTCTTTCTTGCTCTTTCTCGTTATCTCTCTCTCTCTCTCTCGTTTTTTTCTCTCTCTCTCTCTCGCTCTCTCTCTCTCTCTCTCTCTCTCTCTCTCCCTTCTGCTTCTGTAGATTCGCCCCTGCCCTGCTGTGTGGATTCCCTCTGTGTTCGGTCTCTTCTTCTCTGGTCGCTGTTCTATTCTAGGCATTCTGAGTTTTCCATTCTAAGTATTTCCACTCTATTCTGCTTCTACTCTTTGCCATTCGATGCCATTATGCTTCAGTCTTACAAGAACAATGCAGAATCATTGAAGCCTCAAGTGAACCTTCCTGGAAATCCACCGCAATCCTTTCCGGGCCTCCTGAGGTTGCCTTTTGACCCCCCCCCCCCGTCGGGGGCTCTCGGCCTCGCAGGGCGCCTCTCCCCCGCGCGAGCCCCGCCCCGCCCTGGGCCCCCCGCGGGAACTTCGCGCCAGAGCGCCGCAGGCAAAGGCACGGCTGCCAAAAAGGAGGCGCAGAACCGCAGCGCAGCAGCAGCAGCAGCACCGCAGTGCACCCTCGGAATCTTTTCTGGCCCCTCGGGTTGCCCCCGCGCCCCCCCGCCCCTCCCCATCGGGCCCTCGCCCATGCAGGGCGCGCCTCCCCCATAGGGCCCCCCCTGCCAGAGGCCGTCTCAGGAACTTCGCGCTCGGGCGCTGCAGGCGAAGGCGTGGTTTTGGAAAGGAAGCGCGGGGCCCGCAGCGGCAGCGCCGCGGCGCGACCACGGCGCGCGGCGACGCAACGCAGCAGCGCAGCACGGCAACAACAACACAAAAAAAACGCCCCTCAGAGACCCCCCCCCCCCCCGCCGCCACAGAAACGCCCCCTTCGGACAGGTGCCCCTGCAGAAGAGGCCCCCTATCGGAAGCGACGCAGCAGTGCAGTAGCAGCGCAGGCGCAAGCTTCCTGTTGCAGGCTTCGCAGACCTGCGCGCTTCAGGCCTCGCAGACCCGCGGCGGCGGCCTTCGGCCTGCGCTGGGCCCCGGGCCGGGGCCGCGCGCAGCTCGCCCGGGGAACGGCGCCCGCGCTCCCCGCGGCGTCACTCGGGGGGCGCAGGCCAAGCGGGGCGCCCAGCGAAGCGATTCGGAGATGGCGTCCGCGATCAGCCGGCGGCTCAGTCTCGTCGCCGCGCGGCTCGTGCTCGCCGAATTTAGCCCCTGCGATTGCGATCGGCGGATGAAGCGGGCAATCGCGGAGTGGGATCAGACAGTGGGCCCCTGACGCACGCCCGGGCAGATCCTTCAGCTGGGCGCGATGTCCGCCAGGAACATTTTTCATCGCGCGAAGACGTCAGTTGCGTCGGCCCAGATCTCCGCCATCGTCGACTTCGCGATCCAGAAGTCAGGCGCGGACGCGCCGACGATCCGCGCCCCGGGGCAGCAGCCGGCGACGCAGCGGCGCCGGGAGTTGCGCGGCCTCAGCGGCGGGCGCGACCAGACCGCGCAGGTCTCAGCCGCGGCCGCGCGGCCCCCGGTCGAGCAGCTGATCGACTTCTTCGCCCTCGGGGCGCGAAGTGAGCCTGACCTCAGGACCGCCAGGGTCGCGGGGGCCACTCCGACCCCGCGGGGCTGTCTGCGCGGGGCCGCGGGGGGGGGGGGCAGGGGCGATTCGGATTGCGTGTGGGGGGGGGGGGGGCGGGGGCGGGCACCAAGGGGCAGGATCGGGCCTTGTTCCCTCGTGCCTAATTTTTATATTTACAGAACGCAATGATCTTTCTCAGCGGATGACAGCGCTTAGATCCGGCGCTCGGCCACTTCTACGATTAGTTCGACGGCCCGTTCTCGGCGCGGGTTTGTTTCAGCGCAGGTCTGCGTCGCCGTTCAGAGCCGCGCCTCAGGGGGTGCTGGAGGGCAGAGCCCACCTCTAGCTCCTCAGGTCAACTGTCAGCGCAACAGGCTCCGCGCACCCAGCTCAGCCTCGCGCGCTCTCGTCGCCCCAGCGCGAGTTAGGGGCGTGGAGGAGGGCCCAGCCTGCGCGCGAGGCCAGCGCTCAGCTGTCAGCTAGCTCTCCGTGAACAAATTGACTCAGTCCTGGTCAGACTCAACCGCGCTCAGACTCACTCAGCCCGGAATTGCCCTTCTCAGTCGCATTCGCACTCAGGCGCACTCGCGCTCATATGCAGGCCCCGCTGAAGCACCCTACCATCGTTAAGATCAGACGCGCTCGCACTCGCTCGCACTGGTTCCATCTGCTTTCCTCCCAACCCTTCTCAGCGCCTCTCTCTTTCGCCCCGCATGTCCCCCTCGGCGCTAAAGCTATCGTCCTGCTGAGCTGGGACCTCAGATTTCTAAAACTTAATGACCAACTGGGGTTGCGCCGCCGCCGCCGCCGACGACGACGACGACGACGACGACGCGACGGCGACGACGACGACGTCCCCGACGTTTCCGAAGGTGCGCGGGGCCCCGTCTGTCCACGGACCCCGCGCTGAGCCGCGCGCGCCCGCGCAGGTCTCTGGTTCCTTCCGCGCGCCTAGATTGAGTTCGGGGCGGAGGCGCCGCGCGACGCGGGGGGCTCGCGACGAATAGCCCCGAACCGCCCGACTTCGGCCGCTCCAGGGCGGCCGCCCCGCGGGCCCAGGCGGCGCGGCCCGCCGTTCCGCCTGCTTGCCCGCCGTCTCGTCTCCCCCACCGTCACGGTAGCCGCTTCGGCGACGCCCGCCACGGCGCCCTCCGCCCCTGCCGCCGCCATCAGGTATCCCGCCGCCACCGCCAGGCCGCCGCCGCCAAGGCCCCAGCCGCCGTGGGTCGCGACCGCCTGCTCCCTGGCCGCCGATGCCTCACTGGCCGCCTCGCCGGCCTCCTCCTCACACGTGCGGAAGCAGGCCTGCCGAAGGCGCTCAATGCTGGCCAGCTCCTCGTCGCTGGTGTCCTCCGACTCTTCGTCGACGTCCTCCGCCTCGTCGAAGTCGGGTTCGGGGCCCTGCCACTTCCCAGTAGCCAGTCCCGCCTGCGCCCGCGCCGCCTCCTGAAGGGTCCCACCTAACAGCAAGGCCATCCCTGAAGACCACGGCGGCGTCGGCCAGGTGGATGGCCGACGCCACCGCTCCCGCCACCGCCGCCGCCGCATCCGCCCCCGAGCCTACCGCGGCCTCGACTGCCGTCACCTGCGTGCCGTGTGCCATCGCGCCGTCGCGCAGCTCCATCGCGAGCGGCACGCCGGCGCTAGTCCCAGCCCGAGCTAGCCCCTGCAGGCTCTCGTGCCGGAACTACGACGACGACGACAACGCATTGCGGATGCCGCATGGGGGGGGCGTGTTGCTGCGTAACTAGGCCCGCTGTATTCGACGAAGACGACGACGAGACAATGACGGCGACGACGATTACGGCGACGACGATGACGACGACGAGACGACGACGACGACACAGACGGTGACGACGATGTCAACGCATTGCGGATGCCGCATTGGGAAGTTGCTGAGGAGGCCCCCCGCTGTAGTCGACGACGACGAAAACGACGCACTGCGGATGCCCTGTGGGGGGGGCTGCGCTGGCTGGGTGTAGCCCGACGACGACGAAGACGACGACGACGACGACGCATGAGGGGGTGAAACGAATTCGCCTCAGACGTATACGACCCAATAACAACATGTATGCGACAAGCAACCGTTTTGAAGCTGTCGTGCAGGGTGGTGCACGATCCCCTCGGCGGTGCTCAAGACGACCCCATGGCGCGCGTGATTAAACAACATGTTTCGCGCCCCGCAAGGTCTATTCATCAGCTCCAGGGGGGAGGGCCCCTCACTTGTTAATCACAAGCTGACATTACCACAAGCCAAAAGTGCCCCAACAGGCCCCCGAGACGGTCCAAGAGGGCTCCCAATCAACAAACGATCGGTCCAAAACGCCGCGACGTTCCCAGACTGTCCAGCAGACCTCCCAAGCGCCCCAAAAAGCTTCCAAGGGCACTCCCGAGAGGGCCCCAAGAGGAAAAAGAACACGGATGCCTATATGGTTTTTGACAAATTTGAGGGTTATCGCCTTTTCCGCTTCCCGCCGCTCTAAGACGGCCGGCTATAAAGATCGCCCCAACACGGCCCACGAGGCTTCCAATAGCGTTCCAAAACATCCCAAGAGAACCCGAAGACAGCCCAAAACGCCTCCAAGACGGCCAAAGAGGCCCCCAAAACGGCCCCAAGCGCATGCCTTGACGGGGAACCCGAACGGACATTTCGAGCCCTCGGCCCGAGAAGCTCCAAGGAGGCCCCAAGAGCTTCCCACGAGGTCCCAAGAAGCCAACGAAAGGCCCACTGGACACCCGACGAGGCCCCCAAGAGGCCCCCAAGAGACCCCCCCAAATTCCTCACCAGAGGCCCCCGAAAGCCTTCCCAACAAACCCTAGGAAACATCCCTGAGGACTCGGGCCCGAGTCAGCGTCGTCGTCGTCGTCGTCGCCGCCGCCACCACCGCCGTCGTCGTCGACAACTCCCTTCAGAGTCGGCGGCGCCGGCCGTAATGACTTCGCAATAGATCGTGACGCAGATCCAGGCGAGAACTCGGGGGTCCCTGGGGGGGCTGTGAACTGCGCAACCGTCGACACATTCGTGGGCTCCTGGCTGGTCCAGCGGAGCTGGTAGTCAGGCGAGACCTCGCTGCTCCCAGGGAGGCTGCGGACCGCGCACCTGTCGCCACATTCGTGGTCTGCTGTATAAGGCGTTCATATAGACCTGTTTGGAATGTTGCTCTCGCCGTGCCCCGGGTATTTACCCTTACCCGTAGGGTGGCCAAGCCGACCGCGGCCATCGTGTCCATCCCGCACAGGCTCGCCCCGCGCACGATGCGGAAGTAGCCCGACTCGCCCCATTTGGCCCCCCAGCTGTTCTTGATAGTCCAGTACCGAGGAGAGGAAGAAAGAGATGAGGGGGGCGAGGGGAAAGAGGAGGAGGATGATGGGCGCATGATAAAGAGCTGCGATGATGGTGATGAGGTGGGGGAGGGTCATGGTGATGAGGGTGTGAGGATGGCGGAAACATGAGGGGGAACAATGGGCCAGAGAGGAGGTAGAAACAGGCAGGAGAAGGATTACCAAAAACTGCAGCATGAGGATGAGAAGGCCGAGGAGGGGGAGCATAAATAATATAAGGAGGATGGGCAGGGTATGGGAACCGACAAGGGGGAATGAGATGGTGTACAGAGGCAGAGGGAGGAGGAGCAGTAGGAATGTAACGAAGATAATATGAAGGCGGAGGAGGGGCAGAAGAATGAACACATTGATAAGCAAAACGGGGAGATCTGAGTGAGGAAAAAAGAAAAAGGGGATCGAGAAAGGGAACAGCAGCATGAGAAATGGTCGGGGAAGAAACAGCAGCAAGAGGACGATGACGGTACTTCTGGTTCTTCTCCTCCCCGTACCCGACGATAAGCACCCCGTGGTCGATGGTGGTGGTGCAACGCTTGGGGTGCGCGATGCCACGCTTGTAGAATTGCAACCATGGGAAAAGGATGCCGAGCGCACCTGACAATTCCTTGCATATTGCTCATATTCCTCCTCCTCCTCCTACCTGTCGAACCCCGGACGTGTCCGCAGGCCTTCTCCCTGTCGAACCCCGCCTGGGACTTCCATGTATGATCTGAAGCTTGAACATATCAACGGATTCAATGGTGGAGGGCGGATCGTTGTCAAAAAGACATTTTCACCAGTGCGTCGCGCGCAATCGCCAAGAGACGTTTCCAATGCAACAGTAGCGCCAAAACGGGTCCCGACACGTCTCGGCGTCACCTCGAACAATGTGTCAGGGCTCCATTTTGTCCTTTCTGCCTCAAGTGTAAGCCAGCAGTGCCATTAGCAACCCCACCCACCCCTCAAGGGCTCCGAGATGTCCCGCTACCATTACGACCTGCTCACCAAAACTCGCCAGCACTGGGGGTCGGGGGCAGACGGCGTAGCCCTTCTTACTTTCAACAGCTACAGGGACGGACGGCGGGCTTTTCTCCCAATGTGGCTGTCGGATTGGCGCCGCGCGCGCTCGTCCTAATTAGCACGTTCCGGCAGATCAACTGATGTGGAGGGCGGCTCCTCCTCAAACTGGGCTCACGCCATGGCACCGCAATCACTCAAACAAATCTAACAGCTACACAGATGTAGGGCGGCTCCTTTACATGATGGACCTCTTGTCTACGAGTCTGCATATACAGCTTAGAGTTCCGTTTAAGTGTGGCTCTCGCCTGAGGCTTTGTTGGATACTATGACCAGAAATCTGCTGGCCCACTTGGGAGCCAACATGCTGCGAGGCATAGACTGCTCTGTTCCCTGCGCCAGTTCTAGAATCGAATATGATCTAGTTTTAAGCTTCACTGCTGCAGTGCTTCAAATCTGCGAGGAGAGGCCCTCATCAATCGCCTGGATACTGGGTATAGGGGGCCTCGGGGCACATGACATGCAACGCACTATCGCCCCCGAA